ACCACAACCACCACGAATTCTATATGATATTATGCACCACTAACCAGGATACATGGACAACTGACCCATTAGCACAGGTAGCCCAATGTGCCAGAGATGTGAATGACGAGGGTCCTGATGAGGGCACTTCCGATGCCCTCAAAACCTGTGCCGGCGTAGATAACACTGAAGGAAACGGGTATTTAAATGAGGTGCTGGCAGCTACTGATATACTTTATCCAGAAATTGATGAAGGTAACATTGTAACCATGTGTGTATTTAGAAAAATTTACAATTGTTTTAATTTTTGTTTATATAGCAAGCGATCCATTGGTGTTAATCAATGGTAAACGTAGTGCTAATGCTTTGACTGATTTGAAAAGCGCTGTTTGCAATGCATTCACTGTATGTATCATTCAAATATAATTAAACTTAATTTTGTTATTTATAACGTCGTATAATCTATGATAACCAGGATGAATCTAGACCGACACCCTGTACCAATACACCCGTACCACCGGATGACAACCTATTGGCTAGGGTTCAGGTGTTTTACTCGCCTTATAGTCAAAAAGCGATTGATTTTATCAAAATAAATAAGCAAGATAATCCAAAAGGACTTTACGAACTAATGTTACCCGAAATTGAAGGTGAAGTGAAAAATAGGATCGAGGTCGACTACATACCATGGGGTAGGGCTACTAGGGATAAGGATGACACTGGTAANCTACATACCATGGGGTAGGGCTACTAGGGATAAGGATGACACTGGTAAATTTACGTATACCTGCCCTGAAAATGACAATGATTGCGTGGCCACCAGACTGCACGTAATACAATTATCAATTTAATTAACATGTTCAATTAAACTAATTATTCGAAAACTTTGGACAGGCGTGTATAGCTCGTAACCACGTGTCCCTATACCATAACCACCACGAGTTTTATATGATACTATGCGTAACTGAGCAAGATGATTGGACTACCGACCCATTGGCCAAACTGAGTGTATGCGCCCAACAGGTCAATGACGAGGGTCCAGATGAGGGAACTTCAGACGCCCTCAAAGCCTGTGCCGCCGTAGATAACACTGAAGGGAACGGCTATTTGAATGAAGTGTTGGCCGCAACCGATGAGCTCTACCCCCTTATTAGCACCGGTAGTATGACTGGTATAAATGTTAATTATAATAACCATGTTAATTTTTAATTACCTAGATACTGATCCATTGGTATTGATTAACGGCATTCGTAATGACAAAGCGTTAGTTGAATTAAAATATGAAGTCTGCAAAGCGATACCGGTTTGTAAATTTAGCTGGTATAAATATATCTTTAATACCTTGATACGTTATTTATAAAATTATAGAAAGACCAGAGACCAACACTGTGTGCTGATGTACCAGAGGATCCAGATGTCCCTGATGACACAATTGTACCAGCTAATACAGTCAGAGTGCAAGTGTATTACTCACCGTATAGTCCGAAGTCTATTGATTTGATTAAATTGAATGCCGAGGGAAATGATAAAGGATTATATGAGTTGATGTTACCTGAGATCGAGGGGGAGACCAAGTATAACGTGGAAGTGGATTATATACCATGGGGTAGGGCTACCAGGGATACGGATACTGGCACTGGACAGTTTACGTACACGTGCGCTGAAGGGGATGACACTTGTATAGCTACTAGACTTCATGTAAGATATAGATTTTCAAAATAATTTTTAATATATTGTTTAATTAGTAAACTGTATACTAAACATAATAATCATGCAGACTTATAACTGTGTTTATTGATTAATATGAGTTGGTGTATACATAGGGACCTCTTATTTGTTAACCATATTACTACGAAATTATATATTTTATTTTACCCAGGCATGTATCGCTCGTAACCACGTGTCCCTATACCACAACCACCACGAGTTTTATATGATACTGTGCACCACTAACCAGGATACATGGACAACTGACCCATTAGCACAGGTAGCCCAATGTGCCAGAGATGTGAATGATGAGGCTCCTGATGAGGGCACGTCCGACGCCCTTAAAGCCTGTGCCGCCGTAGATAACGCTGAGGGGAACGGCTACCTGAATGAAGTATTGGCGGCCACCGATATACTTTACCCCGAAATTGATGAAGGTGACCATTTATTTATTATACTAATATAAATGAATTCGTTTTAATTTGTCATAAAAACAATAAAACGTTGCGTATAATATATTTTTTAAATACAATAGTAAACATATATTATCAATATCATTAAATTACCTTAATAATTAGTGTATAATCATTGAGTGCCAAAAGTGGTTAAAATTGTTAAAACATTTGGAAGTGACACCCTATATTACACTATTGCGCTCAATGTTCATAATATTAAAATATTACAGATTATTAGTGATAAATTATCACTGATAATAATGTTAGATTAACATGGTATTAAAACGTTGGTTAAGCATTTGGCGTGTAATACCTATTTAGATTTGGTACCTGTAAATTTATATTATTATAATGAGTAGCTTAAGTAATATTTTTATTTATTTAAAATATAATTATTTTTATTATTTATATAGCAAGCGATCCATTGGTGTTAATCAATGGTAAACGTAGTGCTAATGCGTTGACTGATTTGAAAACCGTTGTTTGCAATGCATTCACCGTATGTATCATTATTGAAAAATTAATTTATCAAGGACTAAAAATATAATATTAAAATAATCTATTATATAATTAATTTTAGGATGATACTCGCCCTGAGCCGTGTAAAGCTAGTACAACAACCGGATCGACACAGGGATCTACATCAGCGCCTACATCAGTGCCTACATCAGTGCCTACATCAGTACCTACATCAGTACCTACATCAGTGCCTACATCAGTACCTACATCAGTGCCTACATCAGTACCTACATCAGTGCCTACATCAGTACCTACATCAGTGTCTACATCAGTACCTACATCAGTGCCAACCACCGATGGTGCTGATGCTAGTGTGCTTGTTAACGTGGCTACCTTGGTTATGGCTACGATTTTTAGTGTCATGTATAATGTGTTGATGTAATTGAAAATTATTCATACATGTCATAAATTGACCAATTTGTATGAGCTGAATTGAATTATAATTAATTAAAATGATTTTATCAAATGTTATAGTTAATTTTTATAATTAGAGAGAGAGAGAGAGAGAAAGAGAGAGAGGGAGGGAGAGAGAGGGGAGAGAGAGAGAGAGACTATTTAAATGGTTTATTTATATATCACAAATTAACCGTAATTAAATATAATTAAAATAAATAATTTTTTTTTGTAATTTCAATACCAATTAATTTAGGAACCAGTAAAGAAATACCAACAAATTGTTATGTTAAATTATTGGAATACACTGGTGAGTTTATTAGAATTATCTGCTTAATGATAGGTGTTTTTATAATTACCGTAAATTATTTTAATGAACTCTTTAAAACTATCATTAAATATAATAAATACATAACATATAATGTTATAATTTTATAAAATTTTTATTGGTGCATTCAATCATGGTTTTACTAATTTCTCAAATAAAAGGTATTCGGTCATTTGACCTACGAGTCATTTGACCTACGAGTCATTTGACCTACAAATTCAAACACGTTATTAGGTAACATTTTTAGGTTAGGTTAGGTTAAGTAAGGAATTCAAAAATAACGTTTAAAAATAAATTCGTCCATAAATAACGTAGATATTTAGAGACGTACTTTATGAAATTTTTTTTGAAAAACTTTATTTTTTGTTCCTGAGTTGCATGAGGGTAAAAGTGCAATTTGGAATATTTGTAGGTCAAATGACTCGTAGGTCAAATGACCCAAGACCCAAATAAAACTTATTTTTTATTTACGTATATTAACACGAATGGGAATAAAGCCATTATATAACGAAAATAATATGTTAAATAATTTCCATGATAATTATTTATATTAATTCCTATTTAAATTATTTAGGCTTACATTTATGGTAAACAACATAATTGTTGATAAATTATTTAATTTGTAAACTGTATATTAAATATAACTATTATACAAACTTATGAACGTATTTATTGTATTATACAAATTGGTGAATTGATCCCCAAATCCCATGTACTAACCATTTCACTATGGTATTATATATTTTATTTTACCCAGGCATTTATAACCCGTAACTCCATGTCCCTGTACCACAATGACCACGAATTTTATGATACTGTGCAGTTTTACATGATATTATGTACCACTAACCAAGTTTCATGGACAACTGACCCATTGGCACAGGTAGCCCAATGTGCTCAAGATGTGAATGACCAGGGCCCTGATGAGGGCACGTCCGATACCTTTAAAGCCTGTGCCGCCGTAGATAACACTGAGGGGAACGGCTGCCGTAGTGAGGTGCTCGCGGCTACTGATATACTTTATCCCCAAATTGATGAAGGTAATTTATTGTATAAATATAATTTAATTTGCCATAAATTAAACATAAAAATTTAAGTTTCGTATAATATATTTTCTACAATCAATAGTAAAACATTTTAAATATTTGTTTAGGTTTAGTAAACCTGTAAATTAATATTATTATAGTAAAGAGATTAAATAATATTTTTATTTCATTTATAATTGGCTATTGTTAAATTCAATGTATTATTAAATTTTATTAATTTAAAATATAATAAATATTTTTTATTTATATACAGTATGAATCGATCCATTGTTGTTAATCAATGGCAACCGTAATGTTAATGCGTTGACTGATTTGAAAACCGTTGTTTGCAATGCATTCACTGTATGTATCATTATTTAGGGGCAGTATGCATTTTAATAAATCAAAACAACTGTAAATAAATATAATTAAAATAAATAAATAATTATCCCAGTAATTTCAATACCAATTGGATTAGATCGAACATAGGAAATATATTTTTAAGTTAAATTATAGAAATGTCCTCGTGAGTTTATTAAGATTATGTGCTTAATGATAGGGTTATTAATTTTTATATCACAAAATTATATGTAAATATTAAAACTCTAATTATAATTACTCTTAATTTAATGAATCCCATTTAAAACTGTCTTTAAATATAATAAATACAAAATTTTAAATGATATATAAATTTTAATTTTTATTGGCCCCGGAACTTATAAACCTTATTAATTTATTAAATTATTTAAAATATGATTAAATTATAGTGATATGCTAACTATTTATATAGAATATTATGCACATAGCGTTTTATAAAAAAAATTTTCTAGATAATTTCCATTATCGGCACCATGGTAATCGCGATCAGTGAAAGTACATATTATACCTGCTGCAGTTAAATCAACA